CTGTGAGACTTTAGATTGATCAATGAATGAAGTTATGAGAAGATATAAACTTTATCTATCAAGAAAAAAACATATTGTCACAATCGTTTCATGTAAAAGAGGTAAGTAAAAAAAATATTCCCATTTTATGGGCAACAGGTGTATATTTTGCCTGGATTTTCTGAGATATATTCAAAGCAATCAAAATTTCACAGCATTTAAAATGCAGGAATTGATATCCTAAAATATTCAAATATTTGCAAAGATCCTCAAGTGAATATTACAATAAATGGAAAAAGCGAAAAATTCCTTCTTGGTATTTAAATTTGAAGCTGAGAAAGATTATACTCCATATCTAAAGCAAGCTGACAAGTTAATGAGGTCAATAGTCATCTTCTCTTCCTTCTGGTCAATTCATAATAAGAGAAGTCTGTGCTTGTGGACAAGTGGAAGAATATTCATAGAAATCTTGTCTAGCTGGTACAAATAATCAAGTTTGGTCTTTACCAGAATTCCCATGACGGAAAGATGAAAAGGAAAGAAAAAAAATGTTTAAACCAAATAAGAATGGCGATCGCTAAAGTAATCAAGGTTTTGTGGGCTATGACCTGATTATAAGTTTGATAAATCCAGATTTTCTGCCTTCATTGACCGACATTCAGCAAACCTTGCTTCGAATTGACGATACTAGTCTGAGGCACAGACCCTTGCTTGTCATAAGAGCCCATGATTCAGTTGAAGCTATTAAAACAAGATGACCTATTTGTCCATGTACATGTATGGCATCTAAAAGATAAAGGCCAGTTCTGGTCATGCGATTGCATTGTTAAAGAAACGTTGTGGAATCGATCTGAAAAGGTTGATCATCTAGCATATAAGTATTGGTGTGTACTACAAGGTTCTGGAATCATCAAAATGAGAAGAAATTTGGCCCAGTCTTGGTAAAGTTACAAGCAATGTACACAGAAAGATGCATATGGGACTATGCGAAACGTGTGCGAAACGGTCCCGATATCTATCGGGTCCAAATAGATATAATGATTTACCAAATATATCAATTAGTAGGCAGTTTCCCGGCAAAATTTATATCATCACGTATTAGTCAAAACATATTCTTTCACATAATTGGTAATAAGAGCTTCCGTTTCATTTTTTGAGAAGGGGGCGTAAAATTTAGACTACACTAGACCTTGGTCCGTTAATACCTTTTTAAAATTTGGATTGAAACAGAACTTAACACTCCTGGCGTTCCACAATTATTAGGCCTACCTACATGTAAGCATGGCTGCCATTGCGGCGCTCCAGTATTTCAAGGAATTAATTCCTGCCAGGCACCTATTTACTTCACCTGGGTTGAATGTGGCAAGTGTAGATCAAATGTCCTTGCCAAAGAACATTAGTTTTGCAGCGGGACTCGAACAGAGGACCTTGTGATCCACAGTCCAGTGATGTATCCCCTCGGCCATGACACCTCTATTTGTGACAAAAGTTAAGTATGGCAATCTCCTGGTTGTTTCCACTGGTCGTCTGAAGCTTGTAATGAGTTAAGAGTCAAAAGTACCATTAGAGTATGTGGTCACAGACTACGATATGACAGGGGGTATGGGGGCGGGTAGCAGACGGATTAGGATTTTGTAAGTCTGTTGGCTCCTTCGTAAACTACTTGGTTGCACTAAGCCTAGGATTACAACAAATCTGTACAGGAATAGCTTGTTTAATATCCAATACATATCCCTGTGTTGATTAATTTGTCTGCATTATTTTGAATCAACGAATCCATCATATATTACAGTGCGGATCCGTCCGTTCAGAATAACGCCAACAAATCATATTTTCCATCCCCTACAAAGCAGTTGTTCACTGCCTTTGTTGCATTTATAAGCACGACTCCACTTAAAGATGTACAATCAAACCTGCTTTCGCGACCACCTGTATAGAAAGACCACCTGTCTATAAAGACCACAATTTTTGTTTCCCTTGAATACAGTTTGCATGCAAATGTGTGTTCAGAGTAAGATATTCTCTACTGCAACGTTGATACTTGAAATTTTACATTATTCATCCATTCTCGCACCAGGCAATAAAACAGCTATCAAAAATTAATGTTTGCACTTTTTACGAGTCCGCAATGCTATCAAAATTGCCCAAGAGTAATGTTTGCTCATTTGACGAGACTGCAGTGCATCATAAAACCTAATAACTGTTTCATTTTCTGTTTGTGACAAAGGTTTGTCATAATATTTGTATCTGCCAGGTAGAAACCCATCTCGGGAGAAACAGGTATTAAATATTTATATAATTTTTTGGTATATATCATGTTCACGTGCAACTTGTACGTTGTAAAACGTAAGGTAGTGGAATTGGTACCGTTGAACCTGCTGTAGCGTCCACCTGGATAAAAAGACCACCTGTCTATAAAGACCACCTTTTAAAATTAACACCTTGAAAACCATTTCTTATGCAACCTGTACTAAAGGAACATGCATAAAGACCACTTTCCCATAAAGGCTACTTTTTGCGTGTCTTTATATGCAGGTTTCACTGAATTAAAGATTCTGTAAATGAATACCAATGAAGCACAGAATGTCATTTTAAGCCCATATTTGTACTGGCTGCAATTTTGGCATGTACAATGTACATGATCCATTGTAGATGATGAATGTCTATGGTTTATTAATCATTCTCCAGACACTTGTCTGTTTCGTTTTTTATGGTGTCATTAATTTAATTAGACTTGGTTTTTGCTGGTATCCTGGTACCAGGGGATTTGTAAAAGCTTGCATATATATAAAATTAAAGATGAAGGAGAAAAAGTTGTCCCCCCCCCCCCCCAGAGGGAGGAGGAGAGAGAGAGAGAGAGAGGAAGGAATAGTGAGTGGGGGTCGATGAATTCTGGAAGACAGAGGCATCCAGGAGAAAGAGGGAGAGAGGGGGGGGGGGGGAGGGTGGGGGGGGGGGGGAGACGGGCAGACAGCTAGTGCATACTGAAAACAAGAAAAAAACCTAAAGCAAGAAATAAAAGATGAAAGAGACAAAAGTAGAGGGAGCTAGAGAGGAATAGTGAAGTATTAAGAAACAGCAAGCAAGGTACATTATAGATATTTTTTAAGAAGATGATCTTTTTTGGGTAGAAAAAAAGGGGGGAAAAATGGAGAACAGCTAGGGTAAAGCGTGGGAAGACAATATATTTTTCCGTTGATCATAAGCTGTTTTTTTACATGAACAACGCTAGTTAATGAAATCACACATGTGTTGGAATATCCACACCGTATTTGAAGCATGGAATAATTCAAACTGTGTTTTTATTATTTTCACGGAACCTGATTTTGCTACAACTCAAAAGCGTTACAATTAATGGTCACCTTTGACGCTCTTTTATCTACGTTCAGTATTCTGATTTCAATTTTGTTATCGCCACACTTTCAATACAATATGTTACCTTCAAACTACTTTTGTAATCTACAACATTTACTTTGATTATATATATACATGTATACTCAACTCCTCCTGATCTATTTCCCTTTCAAGCCTAATTTGTGATTATTACATTTTTACTGTTGTAAAGTAATAATCCTACCATTTTTTAATTAGAAAATACTTTGTTTATGTTTTACAACGTTTGTAATTAATTAAGTTCATGCTTATCTTAAACTCATTTGTAGTTCAGCTCTCGCGCTGCGATGATAATTATTAGATAATTACCATTAATATTATTATTATAATCTGTCAAATAGGCCTCCATTCACTTTAAAAGCCCTCTATTCAGTGAAAAACATCTGGACTAGTGTAAAGTTATTCTTTTCCTAATTCTACATAATTTCCATAGTATTTGTTCCAGAATTTTTCCTTGACAGTGAGGGAAGATCAATAATGTATTGCTGTCTTGTCTCTCTGGCCAACACCTCGTTTAAAATCACCTGCCCCAGCTTTAGTCTTCTTTCATCACTACCTTTCTTTCCTTTTCTTTCTATTTTCTCCTTCTCTCTCTCTCTCTCTCTCTCTCTCTCTCTCACTTTCTCTCTCTCTGTCAAATTCTCACTCTCTCTTCTATTCTCTCTCACCTTCTCAATACCCCTCTCTGTCTTCCTATTCTGTTTCTTGTTGTGTCCTCACATTCTCTTTTGTTTCCTCTCTCCCTTGCTTTCTTTTCCTCACTTCTTTTATTTAAAACGATTACTGTAGTGGACTAATAAAATGATTATTTCATGAATACTCGTATTATATTTACTGCATATTTCTCCAATAACATATCTCTGATAAGCTGTTATGTCCAGCTATCGTTTTTTAAAATGTATTCCTTCACGCCATCTGCTGTACAACCCAATGGTCGTTAACTCTGATGATATCATTGGGTGTCCACAGACAATTTGTTCCCTTTAATGATGATTTGATTCTGTGATATTATCAGTACAAGTATGTCCTTTTCTTGGATGTGTGAATGTATGATGTATTTATAATCTCTTCTACCGGTACTTGTGTCTCATTGTGAAGGTACGTTTCTACCTTCCTTTATCCCACTCCCTGTCTATGAATCCATTTTTGTCTCAAACTCTGTCCATCTCTCTCCACCTCTGTCCATCTCTCTCCACCTCTGTCCATCTCTCTCCATCTCTCTCCATCTCTCTCTCTCTCTTCCTCTCTCTTTCTCTCTCTTTCTCTCACTCTTTCCCCCTCTCTCTCTCTCCCCCTCTCTCTCTCTCTCTCTCCCCCTCTCTCTCTCTCTCTCTCCCCTCTCTCCCTCCCCCTCTCTCTCTCCCTCTCCCTCTCTCTCTCTCCCCTCTCTCTCTCTCTCTCTCTGCTCCCCTCTCTCTCCCCATTATCTCTTTCCCTCTTTCTCTCTTTTTCTCAATTTCTCTCTCTTTCCTGCTCTCTCTCTTTCTTCTCTTTGTGTCTCCATCATTCATTTCTGTTTTTCCCCTCTCCCCCACCCCTCCTCCCCCACCGCTCTTCCCCCACCCCCACCAACACATATTGCCTCACAACCTTTTCCCCCTCTCTCTCCCTTTCTCTTGTACACGTAGCCAAGTAGGTGACAAATCTGCCACCTTGCCACCAGAACTGAGCAATAAACGCTCGGAGACTCCGAAGAAGTCGGTGATGTTTCGGTCCCAATCCGTGGACCCGTCCTTAATTCCGTAAGGATGACACACCCTCGTACTTTTCGCCGTGTTTCATTTTTGCCTGAAATTGGCTGCCGATTTGAAGAAGCTTGTTTTATATTCATGGCTTGCCTCGCTGGCTATAACTTCGCTTTCCATCTCATACCATTTTGTTTGGGATGCTGCATTTTTAAACAGTTTTCTTATGCTCCAACATGCTGCGACAAAGCAGCCTTAGACCTTGACAATTATTAAATGCATGAAATTTATAAAGCATAGCTCATTTGCATAACACAACCTTCCATCATCTAAAAAAAAAATAATAATCAATTGAACACAAAAATTTCATTATGAGGGCATTGTATTTTTTTTTACTGGGTAGTTTCTTATTTAATCATGAATATATTTTTTTACTCTTTCCATGATTACTCATGTTATCATTCTTTTTTTTCCATTTATACATTTTCCATCCATGGCTAAGAAAATAGGCATTAAGTGACAACAGGAAAAAAATAATTGAGACTGTAGAGTACGAGACTAAAAATAAAGCATGAAAAGTTCTTGGAATTGCATTTATTCAGCTGCATTCGAGCAAACTTTGCTGCTTGTTTATTCATCATTATCTTCATAATCATGTATGCAGGGATATAATAATATTTTCATGTCTTTGCTGTGCTCTGCAAAATACATTTCTCTGATACAATTTTTGTGTGAATCTTTACATTTTTGAAATTAAGAATCATGAATGAATTGTTTCATATTTTACTCGCGTTCATGTTTTTGTTTAAAAAAATAACTTTTGCCATTTATGACTGAAAAGGATGCTAAACATTGGTGTACCTTTAAATTTTCCATGGCTTGTATTCCATTTTCTGCTTTTTATCAACTTGAATACAGATTCTATTTCTTCAATATTGTGATTATCTGGCATATATGTGTAAGCATACATGTACATTCATGCATCATTATTCAGCTAAAATACGATTTGTTATTCTCATTCAGCCTTTGTTTTATATTCCATGCTGTCGGTATCATTACCATCATTCGCGGTGAAAAATGTAATTGCCTATTCAACTTTGCCTTGATGTTCAGTCAGAAACTTCTCTTGGAAGTTTTCTTTCTTAATTGTTCTCATCATGTCCTTCTTGTCCATTCAAAGCATGTCTTGATGTTTAGACAGAAACTTTCTTGATTGTCTACATCTTTAAGGTTTTCTGTCCTATTTTTCTTTTTCTTCTCAAGCTCATCAATTCCATATTGCCTCTTCAAAGCTTGTCTCAATGTTTACTACATGTATCTACATCTTTAAAGTCTTCTTCTTCTTCTTATACTTCTTCTTGTCCTTGTTCTTGTTCTTGTTCTTGTTCTTGTTCTTGTTCTTCTTGTTTTTGTTCTTGTTCTTCTTGTTCTTGTTCTTGTTCTTCTTGTTCTTCTTCTTGTTCTTCTTCTTGTTCTTCTTGTTCTTCTTCTCCTCCTTCTCCTTCTCCTTCTTCTCTTCCTCCTCCTCCTCCTCCTCCTCCTCCTCCTCCTCTTCTTCTTAATATTCTTATTTATCATTTTCCTTCTCAATCTCATCATGTCCATCTAGCATATGAAACTGTACTCTTGCGCCATGCTAGCTGTGTGGTGTTGTAATGTTTTATCCATTTCCTGATCTCATTATTTCCCGATATAAAACAGCCAGTTTTGTTTCATATTGGAATATAGTCTCCACATTCAAGTATCTTCTCTCTTGAAATTCTAAGCACCAATCTGCTTCATAATACAAATATATATATATATATATATATATTATAATCACCTTCAAGTGCTATTTTTTAAAGTGAAGATTCACAAATTTGCAAACAAAACTGTATTGCAAGTGTGAGTAGAAAAGTCCTATTTCTGATACAAAATGAAAAACAAAACAAATAATAGATACAAAAATGTTTACCTGAAAACCTTACATTCAAAACTGGTATTGTGTAGAGAAGGTCACCTTTTGTGAATACAACTCTGATAATGCTGTTTGTAATATATTACTGATTTGGCATTCACGATGACATTGAATTTTGCTTTCCTCATCACTTTTGCATGTATATCTAATAGCAGCTGTCAGAATCACTTTCGTTTGGATATCTCTCATCTATTTTGTTTCCTTTGGAATCTGTGAAATATTTAAAGGCACTGTTTTACATAATATGTAGGCTAGTGGAATTTCCAGGCAAAATTAGATTTGGTTTTGTTTGTAAAAAAGAGCCCCTTATTTCACTGTTTTCCGAGTGAATTGTTCAACGCTCTGTAAGGGGGGGGGGGGGGTGTCTATTCTACCTGTAACTGCAAACCTCAGATTTTGAGATAATAAATACAGTTTGGAAGAGATATTTTATTTTCATAGTTCAAACAGAGTCTAAAAACTTGCTTTTATTCTGTTCTCAAGTGGCTTTCATTAATGTCATTTTTTCTTGGCTTTTCTTTAAAAAATATATATATTATGCTGCACTCTGCTGTGAAAGTGTTATGGTAAAAAGAAAAGATTATGAACTTTGCATTTCATATCAAAATCTGTTACAAATATAACATTCAGCGAATGGTAGTTCCTGTTGCATAAATGTGCTACAAGTCGTGACTGTCAAACTTATTTAGTTAAACCAGCAGGACAATATTAATGGGAGCGATGCACCTGGTTGAACCATTAGGCTTAGAGCCAGAGGATGAAAATTCAAATCCTTTAACAGACCATTTTCGTAATGTAATCAAATTTAATGCACAATTCTTTGTTGAGTGTCATGTCACACATTTTTTTGATTCACCTGGTACAAATAATTGTATTTGAATAGTCAGAATGTGAATTGCATGCATAAATTATTGCTAGGCAGGATAAACATTTTGGCTCGTTCTATCTAACAACACCAAATGTATGCAATTTATATTCTGACCAGTGAAATCAGTGGCGGATCCAGGGGGGGGGGGGCACGGGGGGCATGTGCCCCCGGCCAAAAAAAATATGTTAAAATCAGCCCTAAATTTGGCCAAAATGTCTTGAAAAACAGGGACGTGCCCCCCCCCCGGCCCAAACAAAATTATTAACAATTTTATTAAAAAAAAAAAAAAAAAATGCCAATGGCTGACCTAAAAAGGTGCAATTTTTGGGGGGACTAAAAAAATATATATATATATGTGTGCCCCCCCCCCCGACAAGAAATTCCTGGATCTGCGCCTGGAAATATAATTAGTTGTAAACCAAATTGTAACAACAATGAAATAAATAATAATCATTCAAATTCTCAGTGATTACTTTTTTTAATATCTTTATAAAAGCTTCCCTTTCCATCTGTGTTCCTTCAATGTTGAATATTAACATACATTGTATATTTATATTAAAAATTCTTTTACAATTAACTACAAATGTAAAGAACATCATATTATTTCTAATATTGATAACAGAAGCTTTAAGTTGCCTGTCTTGCATGTTTATGTGTCTTTTATTTTTGTTTCCCTCCATTTATGTTTTGCATGACGTTAATTTGTCCCGTCTCCAACCAACCCGTCCATCTCTTCTGTTTCACGTCTCCATGGAAACCGGCATGTGAATCACTCCCTGCATGGACTTTGTACTGTCCCTATTTCATGATGTTTTTGGTTCGTTTTCTTTCTTTATGATTTCCTCTGCATCAATTTTTCTCGTCTTCTTCAACTATTTACTCATCACTTCCTTATCGTCATGGATACCATTTAAATATTAACTACCCACTTTGACCACTAATTTAAACACGCACCTGTTTGGTTTGTGTGCTATCGAATATGTATCCCCGCAAATTGAAATTGAACCCCAAATGACAATTTTGGTAATTGCCACTCCTTTCGCCTCGCTTGGAATTATGAAATCATTCTACTTCACAAAAATCAAATAATTATGTTGGCATGGTTTTAATTCTTATCTCTATCACTCATTAATGCACTAAATATATCAATTTTGGTATGAAAAATGAACAATTGCTACTTTGCTATGAATGCATGTGATTGCGGTTAATGTGTGGTAATATGATACATTAACAAATCAAAAATCTCTGGTAACTTTCTAAAAATGTTTTTTTTTTTTTATTGTGAATTACTATGTTCATTAATTTCATTTGTTTCATCTTATAATGAATTTTTTCTATTCATTTTTGAAAATTTACATTTGAAAATTCATAACTCATTGAATGTTCATTTTTTCCCCTCACCGTATTTGACTTTAATGACATTTATTGCCTTTCCATGGGAATATTTGTATGCATATATGTTTGAATTCTTATTACCATCCATATACACAACAAATATATATTATTTAATCATCTGATTTTTTTTCCCATGTAATCTTGCTCGATATGAACATAATCACCCCTTGTGTGATTCAATAATGGGACACAATATGTAATGGATTCTCACATGCAAAAACCACGACACATATATCCAATTTCATCATCGTAACTCTAAACGATATCATTTAAATATCCCATTTGACAAAAACCATGTTAACGATGCATTTGGTATCCTCCTGCCTGCGATTCAATTTCTAACTAATTTCTCACACCGTCTGATAACGGCATGGCGTGAAATGATGTGGTCTGCGTTGAGTAGGTTGCAAAGTTTTGCCCACGAAGTTGGGTCTATGTACGCCGAGCCGGTCCAACCGGCCACGAAACCCGGGATCCTTCACACCGTTCATTCCGAACCAGCAATGTCTCTGCAATCAGAGTATGTACATATTGTGATATTCAAGTTAATAATGTGTGATGTTTTACGTGCTATTTTTTGCAGGGAAATGATTTTGAGTGTGAAAGATGTAGTTACAATGTGGTGTGTGTTTGATAATTGAGTGACATTGCCTTACTTGTATTAACATGATGGGAACTACTTTAAAAAAAAAATTCTTCATAACGTTCATTCCGAACCAACAGTGTCTCTGCCAATCGAGTATGTACATATTTTGTTAAGTTTAACGTGTGAGGTTTTATGTATGAATCTTGCGCAAAATTATTTTAAGTGTGAAAGGGGTTGTCACAATGTGGTGTGTGTTTGATTAATTGACTAACATTGCCTTAGTTGTAACACAATAGGAACTCCTTTTGAAGAAAAAATCGACCTAAGGCAATTTCAAAACCCTTGTGAAACACCAATTGAAATGTGCTAACGTGACAATGATATATTGCTTAATCTAAAAATGATTTCTATGGGACGTGCAATAGGGTATCGGAATTGGCCTTGGGATTTTTTTTGAAAGATAATTGTGATCGTGTTTCATGTGGGGCAACGCGGGAAATTAATTATTTAGAAACTTGGGGTAAGGAGCCAAGTGAGTTATTAGCTTGTAAAGGTCACAGTGAGATCTAGGAAAGAACAATACTTCGGAATGAAATTTGATTGCTAAATTGTCATTTTGCTGCATAACAATGAAATCTGTTTTGTGCGAGGTAGGTTGACGTTACGTCCATGTTTTCAACACATTTTGAGTAAAACAGTGTCAGTTTGAAATTTTGAATCGTGCAAGGTCATTTGAAATGTTTGCAGAGCTAGCCATGCAATTAATGCAACTGATGCAACGCTCCGTGTAAATTAAGACACACGCTGTTACCAGAAGTAGACATATTTAACAAATTTGTGAATTAGAATGGAGACAAGGCTGAAATCACAGGTTTCATTTAATTGCAGGAAATCATAATTACTCTTCAGGCCTACCGAAACAGGTCATGTTTTCAAGAGGAAGTTCCTTTGTATAACATACAGCGTGTCCACACGCAAAACAATTTATCCCGAAACTCTATAACGAAACGTCGTATAAAGAATCATCGTATAAATTTCAGTGTCCACACACAAGAAACGTCGTATAAATAATCATTGTATAAATAATCATCATATAAATTCCAGGATGTCCACACACAGAAGAAAGTAATCCTGAAACTCTACAGCGAAATGTCGTATAGGTGCGCAGTTTGCTACTGCGGTCATGAAATGGAAGTGAAAATGAGAGGTCTGGTCTCCTTTCGCTCGAGGTCACGTTAAGCCCCGCCCAGTTAGTTACACTAGTTACACTCCCCCTGTCCGCACACAACATATTCCGTGATTAGGCGTGATTAGGCGTGATTCTTTATTGAGTTTCAGTTCGAAACGATGCCCAAACCTGCGTTTCATTAGACTAGTTTCGTCATACGACGTATCGTTAGTGAGCGTCCACACACACAATTTTCATCGTAAAACTATCGCGAAACGGTATCACTATTGCGAAACGGTATAGCTAATCACGCCTAATCACGAAAAATGTTGTGTGTGGACAGGGGGAAAGTTGAAAAACAAACTAATCAACATCTTGTTTATAATTCCACCAACAATTGACCTTCGATCTCTTACCTGAATTCACTGATGTATGGTGATATATGGAAACCCATATTTTTGACTGAAAATTAGTATTTGATTTATTGATTTCGGTGTCATTTTTGGAACAAATATATCCATGTGCATAATGTGACATTTACAATACAATACAATACAGGACATTGTATAGAAAAAATAAGAAATTGAGTTACAAGCTTCATGGCATGCATATGTGATTAAAGAGGGCTACAGCATGAGCATGAAGCTTGATGTGCTTGCAGCCTTCCGTTAAAGGTAAAGACCAGTTATGGTCATGCGATTGCATTGTGAAAGAAACGTTGTGGAATCGATCAGAAAAGGTTGATCATCTAGCATCTAGCATCTGCAAGGTTCTGGAATCATTAAAATGATAAGAAATTTGGCCCAAATATTAAATATAAAAGGAAGAGAGTGGCATGCTATTATAAGAAAGATACGGTAGACAAAAAAGGGGAAGCTTAGAGCACTGGTTTTTCTGGCTACCGTAAATCTCTGTGTATAAGGCGCACTTTTTTGCCGCCGAAAAAAAATTAATTTAATTTTCTTTTTTATTTATGGCGCTATGCCTGGCAATGTCTCCCAGCTCAGTAATCGGTGTGTTGATTCACCACTCGGACACTAGAACAACACTCAAATTTGTATGTCATCTTGGTTTGAAAGTAATCTTTCTAATAGATCTCAATATGTAGTTTATAATAAGGATTCCTCCAATTTTGCTTTGGCGTACCACAAGGTTGTATCCTAGGTACTCTACTGTTTTTAATATACATTAATGATCTTACACATTCTTCTAAAAACGACATTGTTACTTTTATTTGTGACAAGTTCACAAGCACAAATCGGCGCCTTCAGCAGCACCTCCATGTTAAATGAAAGTCCTTCCCCGCGTGTGTTTTCGTTTCGGCAAAAAAAAAAAAAAAAAAAAAAAAAACACAGGTGCGCCTTATACACAGAGATTTACTACAACAAAAGTAACACCTGTCAATGTAATAAGACAAAGGTTTACAAAACTAATGATGATATTTCAAACCTACCCCCAAGTTTTACGATGTTACATGACATATTTAGAATATAAAAGCATTTGAAGAGCCATGCTTTTCAAGGAACATGTCTTATCTGATGTTCTTCCACACTTGCATAATAAGAATGATAACACTCACAAATTATTTTTCACCTCTTCCCAGAACTCAACCTTCTCTTTAATACCTCGATGGCAATCTGTAATTATGTTCCAGATTATGAAGTATTACCATAAATCAGGCCATCTTGTGCATGTGTAGGGTGTCTTCGTCTTGTATTCACTCATCGTTTTTTCTAATACTTTTATTTTTGTGACCTTTCCTGAGGAGGTGAGTTCTATTTAAATCATAAGAGAATTGCAGGAAAATATATCCCCAGGAGCTTTGTGCTTCCATGATTAGCTAAGTACTCTCTGGGGTGGATTTGGACGTAAGCCTGGGGAATATTGTATTCAGTGGCGTAGCTCCAGGGGGACATGGAGGAGGAGGGGGAGGGGGGGGGGGGTCCATCTCCCCTCCATTGATTGGTGAAAAATACAAAGAATGCTCCCCCCACAGAATTAAAAAAAAAAAAAATCCCCCATTACTACTACTTCGACTACTACTGCTACTACTGCTACTGCTCCTGCTTCTACTACTACTACTACTACTAACTACTACTACTACTACTACTACTATTACTACTACTACTATTACTTCTACTAATACTGCTACTTCTACTACTACTGCTACTACTACTACTACTACTACTACTACTACTACTACTACTACTACTACTACTACTACTAACTACTACTACTGCTACTACTACTACTGCTGCTAGTACTTCTACTACTACTACTACTACTACTACTACTACTACTACTAATACTACTACTACTACTGCTAGGGTATACTACTACTACTACTACTACTACTGCTACTACTGCTATAAATGAAATAAAAAAGGAGCAGAGGAAACAGACCATTGAAGCAGACATCTGAACCACCTTAGGCACCCTCCCCTATAATCATTATTTTCGTAAATTGGCATGCCATTTTACGAGTGGAGTCTTGCTACGCCACTGATTATACATTCCCTGTCGTTTTAATGATGCGGATGAAATATTCTAGCTAGACCACGGAGAGAGTGAGAGAGAGGGTTACAGATCGGTAACCACTTAAGAGCTCGTCCTTGATCTGAAAAATTTATTTGAAAGCTAGGGAGAAAATTGCATAACTCAAATTGAAATGACATTGATTTAAAGGTAATAGTGTAACTAGAAGTAGAGAAAATTGAGGTGACTGGGTATTAAGTATTGCCCTTGATTTAAAATTCATTAAAAGAAATATGAAATTGCATTATAATTCAAGTTTTTGGGATTACAACAGCTTTTACAGTAATCATACGTTGTGGTAGTGAGATATATGTAGAGAACCTATTAAACAGTAATAAATTCTCGCTACCCCAAATAGCGATTCTGCCGAGATCCGGGGAAAATCCTGAAAACGCGCATTGCATTATGGGATAGCTTTTCGACATTACAGCTTCCTGTGCAGGCGTTCGTGATCACAACCCTCTCTTTCACGGTAGAGTTTAACGGCCTTTTGTGCTAAAGTCACTAATTCTGCCCGAAGCTTTCCATTGCATATTATAATCTGTACAAATTACACTGATTGGCATCGATTTTAGCGTGCGTGAAAACTCTGCACAGCGAACACAGGCGCTAGCGCCAGCGGGATGGGACTCTATACCGGAAGTTGTAGTGACGACCCGAGAGAGTGAAAATTACCTCGTCTCGCGAATTTCGAGATTTTCGTACCTATTTAGGGTAGCGAGAATTGACCTACAATATGTAAACTTACTCAAGAACTTAACCATTACACTGAGAAATAACCCTTTCTTGAAATTTAAAACTTTAGTGGACCTATTAAACAGTAATGGGTTGTTTAGAGCAACAATATGTTTACTTATTTAAGAAAACTTGTACTGAAGAACTTAACCATTACACTGAAAAAGTATTCTTTTATGGAATTTTTAACTTTAGAGCTATAGAATTTGACCTGTCTGTTTGAGTTTCAGAAGGGCGTTATAACTCTACTATATAGAGGGCACAATTAGTTACTTAACGTCCTTCTCGCTCTCTGCTCGCAGTATATTGCAACCTGTGTTTTATCATTGCTACATATTAAAGCCCATCTGCACTTGTTAGGACCTCCCTGCATGGTCACTGACAGGTGGTCAGTCTCATCAAATCAGCTCTCTATTAACATAAGAAAAAGGGAACCACAGGGGACCAATGGTCACCGATTAGGCATTGTTTGCTTTATAGAGGGCACAAGTAGCTGTACGTAGTGCAGTGGGGCTTTAACTACCGCCAGAGGAAAAGAAAATTACATTAATAAGCACTTACCGGTAGATTATAGAGAGCCCATGAATTTGAAAATTGCTTTGTGTGCGGCCATCTTGGATTTTTTGCCATGCGTAGGAAATAAAGAGGAATTACCAGATAAAATGGTACTCGTGCCCTTTTCTGTTGAATTATTTTTGGGACCTTGAAATTAGATGCGAGTGCATTCACTCACTCAATCGGCAACAAGGCTGGTTATTTTAGTATGCATTAAATGGTTAAGCTTGCAACGGGGTGCCGTAGCATAAAGGTCGAACGGACCACTTTCATGTTCGCGTATCTCCGTCTCTATTCAAATTGAATAGCTTCCAATCAAAAGGATGTACTCCCAATCTATTTTCATTTCAAAACACATGCAAGTGAATTGGTTGAAGTTGTTGACTACAAAATTATCTTGTCCCTTAAAGGTATAGACCAGTTTTGGAAGCACCCCCCTCTCAAAAAATGAAAGCTCTTATTACCAATCATGTGAAAGAATATGCTTTGACTAATACGTGATGATACACATTTTGCCGGGAAACCGCCTACTAATTGATATATTTGGTGAATTATCATATCGATTTGTGGCAGAACTCTCCTATATATATAATGACAACCGCTGAAAAGTTCATTCCATCAGTCTTTTGTCGCTTCAAGGCCAAAAGGATGTTAATTGCGTTTAAGTATTCATGTTAACGGTCTTCTGGCACAAATAAACAAATGAACTTCTCTTTTATGGGGGCGGGTGAATATTTTATCATTCTTCATTTCCAAATAATTCAAAACAATTTTCTTTTCATTTTGACCTTTTCATTGTACCTTAATGCAGCTCCATCTCCCGATAATATACCAGTGGTTATTTTTGTCATCATCCCTTCTAGCAAAACTATTTTTATACTTTGGATTATATTACACAGATTCGAGGGCACTACCACTGTAGAATCAGTTATCTTGTCAAAACAATATCCTTATTTGCT